GCTACCACCACCTTGTGGCAGCTCATGGTACCACATAAATTGTAAGGAAGAATTATTAAATTGCTTGGCATTAATTCCATATAATTACAGTTCCACCAAGTGTCACAGGGACATGGCCCAGAGTGTAGCTTATTTACATGAGAGCTAGAAGCTGTGTATCATTAAACAATGAAGTGACAGTTTTCTCCTCCATAGTTGCCGTAGAACAAAAAAGGTAACAAGGAAAGTAAATGAAGCAGGGAAGCAGAAATGCTTTGTGTGCTGTTAGTAGTACCTTATGTCAACACAAGGGCAAATTCATGGTGATACCAAAGTCTTCAATGACTTTATCTTTGGTGGAGCTATTCTGTTTGTAGGAATTTCTCTTGAAGAAATAAACAAGATCGGAAAAAGGTTTTTAAAATTTAGTTTTTTAATTCTTTGAGACAGGGTCTTGCTGTGTAGTACAACCTCGCTTTGAGTTTACTATGTAGCTCAGACTGGCCTTGACTTGTGGTGATCCTCCTGCCTCAGCCTCAAGAGTGCTGGGATTGCAGATGTGCACCACCACACCCAGAGAGAAAGATTTATTTAGAAAGTGTATATACACAAACACATATGTAAGGTATATATATGATAGAATTACATACAACAGAACAAAATAGGAAATAATCCCATTTTGTGTGTGTGTGTGTGTGTGTGTGTGTGTGTGGTGCTAGAGATCAGACCCAGGGCCTTGTGCATGCAAGGCAAGAACTCTACCACTGGGGCTAGGGATTTAGCTCAGCGACAAAGTGCCTGCCTGGCAAGCGCAAGGTCATGAGTTCGATTCCTCGTACTGGAAGAAAAACAAAGAACTCTACCACTGAGCCACATCCTCAGCCCAATAATCCCATTTTTATTTGTGGATCAAAGTTCACTTTTTTTTTTTTTTTTTTTTGGTACCAGGGATGGAACTTAGGACCTTGTGCTTGCCAGGCAGGAGCTGTGCCACTGAGCTATATCCCTGGCCCTGGATCAGAGTTCTTAATGCTTAGAACAGTGACTCTTCAAAGGAGTGGGACAGGAGGACATTAGGCACATTGGCATATCCTGGGTAACAGGAGTTGAGGCAGGGGAATCAGGTCAGCATCTGCACTGGGAGCTGTGTGGTTTAAGAACATTCTGTACCTGCTCATTTAATAATAAAAATGACAGAAAGTAAGTAGGACATGGACATGTTGGTCAATAGAGAATTACAGAAGAGCCAGAGTGCACAGGGCGTGTGTTAGTAGACTTCAGTGTGGGACTCATGGGTTTATAGGGAATAGAAGTATTCATAAGGGCAAAAAGTAATTTTGGACCTTGAGGAAGAAGCAGCTCAGGTGGGGTGTCAATGTAGGGACTTGAGAGCAACATGCTCAAAGCAAGGCCTGGAAGTGTAAGGGTTCCAGGCCGTATCCCTTAGATAAATGTCCCTTCATTTAGCTTTGCTTAGAATGAGCTTTGCTGAGGCCAAACTGCCTTTGACATGTGTTTAAATCTCTTGATGTTGGGCTGGGGATTTAGCTCAGTGGCACAGCGCCTGCCTAGCAAGCACAAGGTCGTGAGTTCGATTCCCGGTACCGGAAAAAAAACCCAAAAAATAAATAAGTAAATAAATCTCTTGATGTTTAAGTCCTTATATTTCTGATAAGTCACAGGGCAACTCCCCCACCCCCATGAGAGAGTTAAGCTCTTTTATTAAGGAGTTAATAAAAGCTCCTTCCTCTTCACCTGTTCCCCTCCTGTTCCCCTCGGCAAAAGCCAACCTTGCCCTCATCTGGCTTGGTAGAACCAAACGTTCAACTCTGACGAACAACACTCCCCCTGCTCGGGCTGTTCTGGCCCACGAATGACCCCCGCTGCTTGGGCTGTTCTGGCCTGTGGACTCTCCGTTCCAAAAAATGTTCTGGCTTAAAGACGTCCTCCCCAAAAGTTAGCTTTAAAAACCCCAGGCGTTGTTCAGCTCAGGGCTGTCCTAGTCCGCTGGGCAGCCCGCCGTGTCACTCCCCCCAGTAAAGGCTTCTCTTGCGTCAGAAGGTCTGGTCTGGTTCTCTGTGGGTTTCGGTCCGATCATATCAATGTCCAGTATAACTGGAGAGGGATACTGATGAGTGGACAGTCTGATCACAATAGTACATCATCCTAACGTGAACTTTTAGGACGAGGTGTATGTCTTGGGAGACCCTGATCAGATTCTGTCACTGTAATGTAAAGCCTGTACCCCTTTTCTCTCCTCCCCTCCCTTTTTGTCCTCTTTTTTTTTTGTACTGAAGGTTGAACCCAGGGCCCTCACAGTAAGCTACATCCTCAGCCCTTTTTATTTCGAGAGAGGTTCTCACTAATTCATTGAGTTGCCCAGGCTGAGCTCAAACTTGTGGTCCTCCTGCCTCACCCTCCCGATGTGAAGGTTCTCTGATCTGGCCTTGTCCCCTCTAGCCTGTTCTAATATAGTGATAGTAACCTCTGTCCAGGCAGTGTGTGAGAATAATTGCCTTGTAACAGTGTGATTTTAAATTAGTGTATCAATGCAGATAAAAACCACAGGCTTTTTTTCCCTCTAATTTTTTATTATGGAAAATTTCAAACATATGTAAAGGCTAAGAAAATAACTGAGGGGCTGGGGATTTAGCTCAGCGGCATAGCGCCTGCCTGGCAAGCGCAAGGTCGTGAGTTTGATTCCTGGTACTGGAAAAAAAAAAAAAAGAAAAAATAACTGAAGGAAACTTCATGTACTTATCACCCTTGACATCCAGTTGTCACACTTCTGACTAGCTGAACTCCTTTCAAGTTGGCTACTTATTCTTTTGATATGGGTTGACCAATTTTAAATGGACGTCATCATCATCTTGATGTTTGTCTGTTACTCTGGTAAGTCAGGGTTGGAGAAGAAAGGAAGATCTGGGATTATGTTGGCCCTTTCCAGCAAGTGGAACATACAGTGGCTACTGTATTGCTGTAATTATTGTTGCTTAGCTACATGTTTGCCATCACATATTTGAGAGATTAATCTTACAGGAAGCTTCCTGTGATTAGAAGATGTGGAGTTCTTTAGCCTGGCATGGTGGTGCATGCCTGTAATCCCTGCACTTGGGAGGCTGAGGCAGGAGGATCATTGCAAGTTTGAGACTAGCCTGGGCTATAAAGTGAGCTCAAGGCCAGCCTGAACTGTGTAGCAAGACGGTCTCAAAAAGACCAAAAAGAAAAAAAAAAAAAAAAAAGAAGGTATGGGAAATACATGTAGGTTTCATATACTTCAGCAGAATCAGAATAAGTCTTACTAAGCACCCAATATGAGAGAGGTGCCAACTCAGCACTGTAGAAGATGCCAGGGTGACTTATGGAAGTCATTGATGAATAATTTGTTGCCATCCAATGGGAGAGCCCTGTGGTTGGTATGAAGACCATATTTCTGAGACAAAAAAAGTTCTGAGCTTTCCAAGTCACTGTCTTTATGATCTTGGAAAATCTGCTTCACCTGTCTGACCCCTAGTTCCCTCAGACTTAGAGAGGGGAAGTGGACTCATTCTCTGAGTGTCCAGGCTCATTCACCTCACAAATTACAGAAATTGTTCATACAAGATTGTATGCTTTTAAAAGTGTACCTCAGACCTGAGGGATTGCAGGCTCCATTCCTGATTTTAAGATGAACCTGGGGTTGTTCCAGGATTTGACCTAAGACCACAGATACAGTGATGGCAATATCAGATCTTTGGGAGTAATTTCTTTATAGTTCTGAAATCTTGGTGGTGTTTACATCATCCGTTGTATTGATTACACAGTGACTTCTCTTTCTTCATTTGTGACAAAAACTTAAAGCTACAAGTTCCAAAGCCGCCTAGCATAAAGATTTGGAGGAATCATCAGTTTCCTAACATTAAACAGAAATAAATTAAGAAATCAGAGTATGACATAGATGTTCAACTTTTCATATGTGCACACGTTTACAGCAGCACAGTTTGTCATAGCTAAATCTTGGAAACAACCCAGATGCCCATCAACTGAGGAGTGGGTAAAAAAGATGTGGTATTTTTATAAAATAGAGTATTACTCAGCTATAAAAAAGGTAAACTCGAGGCTTTTATAAGTAAATGGATGCAACTAGAGACTATACACATGAGTGAAGTAAATCAGACCCACATGTGTAAACACCATTTGTCTCTCTAGTGTGAGAACCTGAAAGAGTAAATAAAACCCAAAACATACAATAGATACTATGAAAGGGAAAGAATTTGCTCAAAGGAAGGAACAACTGGGATGAGGGAAAGGAGGAAAAAGAAGGAAGGGGGAAAAAATATGTATATAGAAGGATAGCTGTGATAACTGTACTGCTGATGGCTAATGGTTTATTGCAAGGAACAGTTAATGCCTAACTGACCAATTTTGTGTGCTTATATCTGGTAATCTGAACAACTAATGTGAAGACAACAGTATGCAATATAACAACCATTGGTGAATTCCTACCATCTTATCTAGTGAAACTCTGTATTGTTTCTAATGTTTTTTTGTTTTTATTTTTTATTCTCTTTAATGATTTGATTAGTCTTGCATTCTTACATCTAGTAATCTGAGCAACTTCATTGAAGGTAACAATATGTAATATAACAACCACTGTTAATTTCTATCAATTTGTTGTGAAACCCTCTATCATTTTTATTATTTTTGCTTTGTTTTTGTCTATGTTGTTGGTATTTTGCTACTGTTCTTTTTTATTATTCTCTTTAAAATAAGAAAAGCTTTTCATTTTTTGCTCTTGATACTGGATATTTACAGTATAACAAGTCAAAGGACCTACTGGTAAAGCTACTTGGAAAATCTAACACTCCATTCCTAGTAAATTTCTGAATATTTTCCTGTGAGTGTTATAATACAGCATTAATGGGAAAGACAGTACTGATCCTCTTTCAAACAAGGGAATCATATCAAGGATTAAGTTAAGTGATCTGCTGACATTTTTATTGCTGGAGTTGGTAATTCTTTCTTCAAACTTCCTTTTATAGGATAGCTAATTGCCCGAAGAAACGTAGTGGAAAATGCAAAACAACGAAATTATAAAACCTGCCAAATACTTCTCAGAATTGGAAAAGAGCATCTTGCTTGCTTTAGTAGAAAAGTATAAATATGTGCTGGAATGTAAGAAAAGTGATGCACGAACTATTGCCCTCAAGCAACGTACCTGGCAAGCGCTGGCCCACGAGTATAACTCTCAGCCAAGTGTGTCGCTGCGGGATTTCAAACAGCTGAAGAAGTGCTGGGAGAACATCAAGGCTCGGACCAAAAAAATTATGGCCCATGAAAGGAGAGAGAAAGTGAAGCGGAGCGTGAGCCCACTGCTGAGCACCCATGTGCTCGGGAAGGAGAAGATTGCTGGCATGCTGCCTGAGCAGCTCTACTTCCTACAGAGCGCGCCCGAGGAAGAGCCAGAGTACCACCCCGATGCCGCTGCCCAAGGTACTGCTCCTTGTGCCGCCTTCCATGTGCTGGTTGGGGACCTGTTTGACATTTTAATTTTAGAATCTTCATTTTGAGGGGATTCATAAGAAAGAAACTTTCACATCAAACTTGAATTTCCTAATTCAAAACCTCAGGATTAAATAAGATATTAAAGTCGTGTAGTACACAAAAGTACTTGTATAGATCCTCGGGCTGCCTCTCTTAGAGACTTTATTATTACTTAAACGTAAGTCAAAAGGAGGAACCACACAGCAGTTATTAATAAGGTACTTAGGTTGCTTATCTCAACCTATCTCTGAGTAGATTAAAGAGAATTTCATGGGGATTTATATTCATTCACTCCATTTTTTGAGTCTGTTATGTGCAAAGCACTGCAGTCAGTCACTCAAAAGACCATTCAGAAGAGTAAACTATTTCAGACTTAAAAACAAAACCACAGAGATTAAAACTGCAGAAAGAATATTTTGACCTCTTATAATATAATGATCTGAAGTTTTGGTTTGTGGCACTCCAGGGACTTTGAGAAATGTTGAGAAGAAAATTTAATTTTAATATACTTTGAAACAACTAAAATATGTCACCCCTAATTCTTAGAGAAGGAAAAGACTGTCGTAATCAAAGATGTGATAGTTCATTGTAGTTTCGAAAGGTTAGTGGTAAGGGGCTACTGAAATGTCTCCAGACAAGGAGGGGGTAAAATTGCATATGGATCAATTTCCAGTAATTCTTGCCTCTTTGAAAACAGGTGCCCAGTTCATATAGCAGTTTATGGCAGTTTGCAGAAGGTACATCTTGAAGCAGAGGAAGGTTTCTGAGGAGGCCAGAGGATTGGTGCTCCAAGGACCCAGGCAGCATTTACCTGAGAAAATTGCTCTTGGTTTGCAAGATAGATAGTTCACTTGTTAGTGTCTCTGGAGTAGACTAAGCTCTAAGAGAATGAATCCTGTTAATAAGAAGTCATGAGAAACTTCTTAAACCAAGAACGTTATCTGTGTAGAGTGAAAAAGATAATTACCACTTGAACCAAATACATGCTTTTGGTGATTAGCACCCTTTTTTTTTTTCTCCTGTAGGTAAATCATGCTGGGAAGCTAATTTATGATCAGAATTTTGCATGCTGATCATTTGACCGAAGTTAAGTCCAAGGAGCCAGTTGGGTAACCATGGTGGTTAATGTCATAAACATTTGTCAACATTTTCAGAGCCTCGTGCCTGGTTTCTGATTTTTGGGTTTCCCAAGCCAGGCCAACCCCTAGCAGATAGTGTTTATGTGGGCACTGTGTATTCTTACCTTTCCTTACTGCTTCTGTGGGCCATGGGACCCACTGCTAAGTGACAGTGTCCTTGCTTTGGAGAGGTTATAGTTTCAGCCAGTCATTGACGATCTTGCTAGCCTCAAGGCAGTTTGGTCTCTGTGAGGCAAGGGAGGGTGTGGTGCTGGGAGAGGAGGAGAGGTGGATTATTAAGGCTGCTTTTTCACATTGCTTATGTTCCGTGCTGCTGAGGAAGATGCTGGTGCGAACTGCATTTACTTCATTTTATAGACCTCTATTCTGGATTATTGTGTTTTTATTTCTTAGGGTCTTCTTAGGGGACAGTCTTAGTTCTACATTTTCAGAATCTAGGGTAGAATCTAGAAAGTTTACCCCACAATTTTCCTTTTTTTTTTTTGGAAGAAATTATGCAATTTATTTACACATAAACACACTATAAATTTTGAGAATGAAAGGAATACATCTGGTTTTTCAATGCCTTTTCTGTAGCAAAATTTGCCAGAGATGTACTTGTGAAAGAGATTAATTTAAATTGGATGTGTATCCATGTATAATATGGGGATGTCCCTTTTTACTGATCCTTTCTAAAGTACAGCCTAATGCTGCCTGCTTCCGCTTCCATGTCAGATCAGTAAAGCTTAGTCAGTAATCTGTTAATACTCCTAGTAAAGGTGTTAAAACTTCCTACACAGTAAAATAGTGTTGAGGTTATTTCACTTATTTTGTATTTCAATTTACTTTTAAGAATAAAAAAAAACTCAAATTGTCAGTCATCTCTTCTGGGATTTGGTGAGGAAATGATTGCAAAATCTACTATTAGGTTGTGACCCTCATTATCTCATTTGTTTTGACATATATGTCTCTTTTATTTTTGTGTCTCTAACACTCTACTGTCTAATACATTAGCCACAAGTCACATAAGCCTAATAATAAACATTTGAAATGTAGGTAGACCAAACTGAGATGTGCTATAATTGTGCCTACCACATTTTGAAGAGTTAGGATCACAAAAAGAATTAAAATACCTCATTAATAATTTTATATTGATTACATGTTTAAATGACAATTTTTATATATATATTGGCTTAATACATTGTGGAAATTCATGTCACCTATTTTTTTAATGTGGCTATAAGAACATTTGAAATTATTTACGTAGTTTGTATTCTATTTCTGTTGGACAATGATGCTTTAATAACTTACTGGGTGCCTGTTAACAGGGTTAGGTGTTCAGAAATTTGTTGGAATTGACTATACTAAGGTTAAAGCAGATGGAGCCTAGTAGTATTCCACTGGAGGCCTCCCTCCGGCTATGTTTTGGTGTGGGTTGGTATTGACTGTGTCATCTGGATCACTGTCCAATGGATACTCTTAGCTTTGCCAGTGACTTTCTTAAAATGTACAGTACATCTGTATTTGAATTCAGTAGTCTTAAAGTTTAAGAAAAATACTTAGGAATGTATTTGCCATTATATATATGCAGATGATACCCTGCAGATTTTGTGATCCGGGATAAGTTGGCTTTGACAGTTATCTTCTGTTTTCTTGGAGGAACGGGCATGGAGAACAAACTAAGGGAGCCACCAGAATTTCCTAGGGATAGCAGGATGATAGGAAATGAAATACGTTTAAGAAACCTAAGCTTTTAAAGCAATATTCAAATGTCTTAGAATTTATATGTAATTTCACATACTATTACTTTTGTGTTACAGAGTTATAGCTGAATAGTGTGAATATTTCTTAATAAATTCCATTATTATCACTACTTAATCAATCCCATTATTGTGGGGTGGAAACTTGGCAGAGTTGGGTTGCGAGTCGTGGCACACCTGTGGCACTGCTCTGGAAAAGCCCCTCTTGTGGTAGTTGCATGTTTATGTCCTTTTTCTCCCGATTCCACACTTCCATTCTCTGCTGCAGTCAAACAAGCCTAGTGTGCTTGAGTTGCCTCTCACATGTGCTTTATGTACATGTGTTTTTGACTTACACAGGTTACAAAGTATGCTACACACATCACGTCTTATGCTTTTTTCATTTAGAAGTATGTTTTCAAGATTTATTCTCACTAGGCATGGTGGTGGCATATGCCTATAATCCCAGCATTTGGGAGGCTGAGGGAAAAGGTTTGCCAGTTTGACCCCAGCATGGGCAACTTAATGACTTAGCAAGACCCTGTCTCAAAATTAAAAAAATAAAAGGGCTGGAGATGTAGCTCAGTGCAAAGGCCTTGGGTTCAATCCCCAGTGCCACTACTACTGTAAAAAAAAAAAAATCCCATTTCAGTGTATAAATCTAATATTTTTCTTTTAGTTAATGTAATAGTTTCCTATGGTATATATCCACAATATCCTATTTATTCACTTCCCCAGTAGTCTTACTTCTTTTATTCTATTGAGAAGGACTGGAGATAGGCCTATACAGATTTCTTCCCTTCCTTTCACTGCCACAGTAGGCTTTCCTTGCTGATACTAAGCTCACTGAAGTTGCCCCAGTGAAGAACAGCCCTGTGGCTGTGTTCTTAGTCCTAGGAAAGCCTTCCTGTCTTTTTGCGTAAAATCGAGTTGTTTTATCCTCTGACTAGCTTTGTTTTACCTGGGAGAGAGATTACATGGTATATGTTTGCAGCAGGTTGCTATTCCCAGGCTAGTCTTTTTTCCAATTAAGGGAATATTGTTCTTATCTGAACACTAGCTTCTATTCATTGGAACTAATATTTGCTTGAAAGTTAATTAACTGCCGTATCAGGCTTCCTAGTTTTAAGCCTTACCTTTTGCCTATCTTGGGAGGCCTGGCGATTTTTGTTAAAATGTGTACGTTAGTACGGAGTCATTTCTTTGCTCTCAGACATGAAGATACTCTTTGAATGTTCACAGGTCTGGAGCGAAACTTGGAGAACAAAAATTAGAATATGCACTGATATTCTTAGTAATAGATGATTCTGTAGTGGATGCAACTTGGAGGCTATATTTTATGCTATGTGAGTGATCAGCTGAGCAAGTAGAGTTGTGGGAGGCTAAATTGAAGTGGTCAGGCTTGGATTTTGGAGTCATGTAGACCTGGGTTAGAATCCTGGTTTTTCATCTGGGTGTGGTGGCACAAGCCTGTAATCCCAGCACTCCAGAGGCAGCGTAGGAGGGTCACCAGTACAAGGTCAGCCTGGGCTGCAAGGCAGTCTCAAGGCCAGCCTGGACTATGGAGTGAGACTTTTTGTTTTTTTTTTTTTGAGACTCTTAACTTAAAAAAAAAAATTCCAGTTTCTTCGAGTAGCCAAATGACCTTGGATGTTGCATTTGGTTTTCCTATAATAATACCTCCCTCAGAGGGTTGTTACAAAAATTGGGTAAGGAAATGTAAAGCTCTAGCCTCGTGCCTGATTTGCAACTCCTAAAATGGTGGCTACTATCATCACCACCACCACCATCACCGTCACCACGTTTCTAAAGCCTGAGAATTGTTGAGATAAAAGTGAGCCGTTAGAAATTGGGAGAGACAGCAGCTTTGTTAGGAGGTGTACTTTAAAGACTCACAGGAGTATCCGGAAATATCCCCTGAAATGAAATTAAAGAACAATGAGAGTAGAGGTGTCAAAAAATGTCAGTGTGTCCAGTCTTCAAAGAAAACATTTTCAGATCTAAAATTAGAAGAGAAACAAGTGAGGTAATGTTCTTTGTGGCTGATGCTCACACATCTGAGGGCCCTGTCCTCAGTGTTAACACTTTCCCTTCTCTTGGTCACCTGCTCGGAATGCTGTTCTTTTTCCGTAACTGTGGCAGGTGGGTAGGGATGTGACCCTGCTGCCAGTCACTTACACACATCTGTTACATGTCACTGCTGCGCCAGGCTCTGCGCTGGTCTCTGAAAAGGATGAGTAAGAGGCTGTGTCTGTCTTCAGAGAGCTCAGAAACATGGAGGAGAGGTAGTTAAGCCACAGGTTTTGACAATTGCTCTACCAAAATAATGATAAATACATGAATAAACACAAGTGCCCTGCCAGAGTCAAGCCCAGGAGGCAGTGGGAATATGAAGAAAAGGCACTGAAGTAAAGCAGTAACTACTGGAATTAAGAAAGTGTCCCAGGGAGACATTTTCATTATTTCTGGATAGCGCAGAAGTATTCTTTTCATTTTCATGAAAAAACCTTTTCATCCAAAAGTGAGATTTTTACCTTTTTAAAAATTTTAATTAGAGACTAGTTATGGTTGTTACCTTACCCCTTGGAGTGAAATAATCTAAACTAGAGTCATTTCCCTTTATTAACAGAGTATTACAAATTAGGTTCCCCCCAGTAGCCATTAACATTCCCAGCATCCCTTCTTCCTGAATAGTGGAGTGGACATAATAATGTAATCAACTCTGCTAATAAATTGATATTACTTTTCTCTGAGGAGAATAGTTTCATTATTGGAAATGTAAAGCTTCTCAAGAAAGCCTTGGAGTCACAGCTAGAAGACTCCATGGGTTAGTGGAGTTAGTGGTTTTCTCTAATTGACACTAATGTCATTGCCTTATAAAAATGCCGGTGCAAACACCACCACATGTGGCATCCTTTTGCATCCATATGCTCATTTCCCTTTGCAGGCAAAGGTTCAGCCAGTAAGTACTGCTAGGCGTCCACCATGTACCAAGGAAAGTAATTAGTACCCAAAGATAAAAGATATGAGTAAGGTCTGGTGCCAAAATAATACTAATGGATGTGAGCACTCTAACAGAGGAGTGCATACGAAGAAAGAGTTCTGAGGTTTCACAGAGCAAGCAGCATTGGCCTTTAATGAGTAAGAACTAGGGAGGAGAGGTTGAAACAGGGAAACTGGAATGGAGGTAGGGGCAAATGTTTAAATCAACTTTAAGCCGATGAAAGAGTAAGACAGAATTATGAACAGAAGCACAACTTTTTCAAGAGCATGAGTAGGTTTTGGTGGGAGCACAGGATATTTTGAAGAGTAAAGCAAAAAAGATGAAAGAAGGGTAGAACCATATTATGAGGTTATTTAGGGTGGATAAAGACCAGAGCTAGAAAGGGGCACATCAAGAATATGAAAAGGTGGGCTGGGGGTATAGCTAAGCGGCACAAGTGCCTGCCTAGCAAACACAAGGTCCTGAGTTCAATTCCCAGTACCCAAAAAAATATGAAAAGGTAACAGGTGGGTGGAGCAACAGTCTCAATACTTCAAGACTTGAGAGGATCAATCAGAAAGGAAGGAGGCTGTAGATACATATAGGAGAGAGTGATGGATTCTGAAGCTCATGGAAGAAAGAAATTTCATGGATTTTCAAATTTCAGACAGAGAATAAATAAAGAGGACATTGACCAGTGTCTTTGGGATCTGAATATTGGCCCTACATGGCAGTGTTAACAGTCACAGCCAGAGGCAGGAAATCAAAGGGAAATGGCATATGGGGGAGCTAACGCAGGGAGTGTGGACTCATCTTCCGAGGGGGAACATTTATACAACAATGGCTATGAGAGCTAACGCCTGGGACAGGAACCTGCCATGTTTCTTGTGGAGCAGAAGTGTTCCTGGCTGAATGAGAAACTGGTGGGGTGATAAGACTGACAGAGAACTTTATCTGAAAACCCCCATGGTTAGCCCTGTCGTGTGTGGTCTCATGTGCATCAGATCAGAGTTCTGCACATTGCAGTTTAAAATTCATATCCATGTCCTAAGGTCTCCTGTTCTCGATAAGCCTATTCTCCGACCACTGTTCCCATTGTTGGCAGTTTTAGAAATAACAGAACCCTTCCTTATTATTTCTTTAAGGAAAATTGCTTCTGATTTATGGGTTTTTGTAAAAAGTCAGGTGGCCACGGTACCTGTAGACATGAAGGCCAAAGCAGACCTATTTTATTTTAGATCCATCCTGTAATGAGAGACCCTGTCATTTGAAATAGGATTGACTTTTTTCTCTGCTTATAAAATCTTTGAACATATGTTTTCTGCTACTGTTTTTCAGAATCATTTGCTGTTTCAAATAGAGAACTGTGCGATGATGAGAAAGAGTTCATACATTTTCCAGTATGTGAGGGGACCTCTCAACCTGAACCCTCGTGTTCAGCTGTCAGAATAACAGCCAATAAAAACTACAGGAGCAAAACCTCTCAGGAAGGTGCTTTAAAAAAGATGCATGAGGAAGAACACCATCAACAAATGTCCATCTTACAACTGCAGCTGATACAAATGAATGAGGTGCATGTGGCCAAAATCCAGCAGATAGAGCGAGAGTGTGAGATGGCAGAGGAGGAACACAGGATAAAAATGGAAGTGCTCAATAAAAAGAAGATGTATTGGGAAAGAAAACTACAAACTTTTACCAAGGAATGGCCTGTTTCCTCATTTAACCGGCCCTTTCCCAATTCACCCTAAGACTTTGGGGGTGGTTCCCTTGTAATTAAATCTTGTGTGGCAAAGTCTGGAACATGAACTTGGGGTCAGTAACCTGTAACAGAGCTACAACTAGGAAAATTAGCGTGGTAGTAGTCATTTATTTAAGAATACATTCAGGTAAACAGCTACACCCTATGTACCCCTTAAGTGGCAAAAAGCTGTTATAGTTTTCTGAAAATTACCACTTTGAGTGCTATTAATTCTGAATGTAATGTCTCTTAATTAGAATTCATATAAGAACCATGTGTGAGTGTTGTATTTTTTTAAAATCAGATGCAAGTGTGACTATAAAGAAGTATGGCTGATTTTTTTCCCCTGAAGCAGACAGCTGAACTTTTCTATCCAATTGAATGTCCTGACTTTGAAAGAGGTTGTTCTGGGTGCCACACTCTTCTCCAGAGGTGATTTTTGTCACTAGAAATTGCTAAAGGTCTGCGGGAAATTTCAGTTTTTGAAAAGCTCAACATTTGGGAGGATATTTTCTAATGTAGCTCTTAAACTGCATTTTAAGGCTTTTCTTCAAAGAGGAGTTCCCAAGTAATATCTCCAGCAGTGGTAGTTTTGTTAGAACGAAGGATGTAACAACTTTGAGGGAGAAATGTTAGTTTAGGTTTCTACATGCTGTTATCTTTGTTTTATTAAAAAAGAGACTTGCAATTTTATAGTCACACTGTGTATGTTTTTTTGGTTTGTTTTGTTTTTGTTTTTCTCCTGGTACCGGGAATCGAACTCACGACCTTGCGCTTGCCAGGCAGGCACTGTGCTGCTGAGCTAAATCCCCAGCCCTTGTGTATGTTTTTTAAAAGGTGCTGCCTTCTCATCTGAGCTCGTTTCTGCCTCCTCCAGACATGTACTACTGGGTTAATACTCGCCCTTGCATTTAGTCTTTAGCTTCCTAAGGAAAGGGCCTTCCCTCACCATGCTCATGGCATTAGCTGATAGTAATGGTATGTAGCGGGCATTACCTGGTCAGCATGGGCTTTTTAAGAACCCATTACCACATATTTGGAAATATGGATTAATAAATGGATATTTTGATTGAGCCATGATGCAGCTTCTCCTAGCAGAGTGGTAAAAGCAGTCCTGAGAGTTGGAGACGGCAGTGGCTGAAGCAAGCAAAGTGACAGTTAAGTGCCAAGCCAGATCAGCAATTTCTGAGAATGAGATCTCAAGGCCATGAGGTGAGGAAGGAGGTGTGTGTGGCAGAGGCTACGTAAGAGAGAGTGAGACTAGAAGTCAGAGCCTGAGCTCTAAGCTAGGCTTTGCCCAAGCTGCTGCATCACCTTGGATCACTCCTTAAAGCCTTGGTGTGTCACAGAACAAGGGAGTTGAACTAGTTAATGTTCAGAGGCTGCTTCAACTCTTGGCCCTGGCGTGGTTTGTGTAATCTTGGGTGAGTCCTGCCAACATCATGATTTCCTGGAGGGGATAGGTCACCTGGGAACAGTGTTCTCTTTCAGTTGCCAAGTTTTCTCCTTCATAATTTTGGAATTTGCACCCTGGAGACTGTGAGCTCTGTATGGTACATATAGACTCATGATTTGTGCCCTGCATATAATTTAAATGGATAGCTATTTTATACACTGAATCATATTTTAAATATGTTAGAGCAACTGGTTATTTTAGATACATCCTATAATGTGACTAGAAGACTAGCCTTTGAATGAAAGATCCTTTTATAAGGATTTCTTCTTAATTTTGTTCTTATTAAATGGATCTTTTAGAGAATGAAGCATCATAGTGTTTCTAATTTAAAATGGGTTGTGGAATACAGAATTTGACCCTCAATGTCCTCCTACCCCTTGAGGAGTAGGACAGCGAAGAGCAGACCCTAAACACAGATGTGAACTGAGAAAAGGTTGCCTTTGCTTCCCCTGTTGACCCATCTAAAAATCTTGTTAATACTGTATGTACTTTCTGGAGTGAGGCCTGAGATTCTGCATTATTACAGGCCCCCAGGTTGCGCTTGCCTGTCAGCACACTGCTGAGTATCAGGGGTTTTGAGGACCCTGTGAAGTTTTTATTCTCAAGAAGATGAGGGGATTAGGTGTATCTTCATGCACAGCCATGTGCTGGTTATTATTCTCTCTTAGAACGTAGGAGCTAAGCACAGAAATGACAATGTAGAACAACACAAAAAATGCTCACAAACAGTGTGTTTTAATTGAACTATATAAAAGTGTTGAACTAATTCCTAGCTGAACAAATAAAGGATAATTAAGCCAGCAGCTTAAGGCACCTTGCTCTACTGTTAATGGTATTTATGAGTTTATAACAGTAGTCTGCAACATTGATTCTGCATTAGAAACAACATTTTATAAATAATTAGTCCCGCTGGGTCCCAATTCCAGAGGATTCTGATTCAGTTGACCTGGGTTGGGGGCTGGTACTCTAGTTTTTGATGCTTTATAGGTGATTATGATGCATAACTGGGATTGAAAATCACTTGTGTAGAGTTCACAGATGTATCTAGTTCGGCTGTTAATCCTATGAAGTCCTGCAGAGGTAAGGAAATGATGCTCAGAGAAGAACCATCTGGCACGAGGCCTATAGCTGATGAATGGCAAAGCAGAACTTCAATCACGGGTCTCTTGACTCTAGAACATACAGCTCCACCTGCCTGCCCTCTCCCTTTCACTTGAAACTATGTCAAGGATTTGTTTCATCCTGAGAGTCGAATCATACTACAGCATACTTGTAGTATCTATTCTTAAAGAAGAATAGTACATCCCAGTTCATTTCACTTTTGATGTGGAACTGCAATAACTGTTCTTGGCAGGTGTTGTAGGGAATAGATAAATATTAAGACACAAGTCACCATGTTCCACCTTGCCAAATCATGTACACAGCCCAGGAGGGGAGGTAAGGCTTATACACAGCTATCACGTAGCTAGTTGATCAGCGCATGTCTGCGAGTGCACTTGTAGTTGACAGAGAATCAAGAAGCTTGAAGTCCTGGAGGAGGTGGCATTTGCACTGTCCTTAGAATTGGCATTTTGGCAGGTAGAGACTTGAAAGGCAAAGTAATTTTATTAGATGCAAGGTCCTGTTGAAGATTCAAGATAAAGCACATAAGTGGGAGGCAGTGGAGGTGTGGCGAGTTTCCACATTGGGCGGTGTCATGATCAGAACGGCTCCAGGAAGAAGATTAGAAGATGGAACTGATTGAAGACGAGTTGGGGATACCAGGTAGGAGAGTTTGGCCCTGGTTACCATGAAAAGATAGGAACCCAGAGGACACTGAGGTTAAAAACAAGAGACCTAACAATGCTAAGAGCATTGCTGAAGTGAAGTTAGCAAGGGCTGGTGGTGGTTTTTGTTGGAAAGGAAGGGTAAGGTTTTAAAGCTAGGAGCCTGAGAATGGTGCTGCTGAGTGAAATAAAGGACGTATTTCTGGTTCTGACTGCTAGGAGAGGCCTAGCTATTAACTAGGGCTCCTGCTTCTCTTTCAGCCTAGAAGGCTAGCATCACCTCCACCTCCTCTGTAGCTCACTGTTGTGTCAGTGTCTGGCACCTCAGGTGCCTGTGCTGCCACTGCCACCTGTTCACCTGATGCCAGTCCCTCCCTGCTAGGCGCTTGGTTACCAGCTTATTTTGTGCTGTCTCTGCCATCAGTACCCTGTTTGCACCTAGTGTGACCTGTCATTGGCTGTCTTTTGTATTGACATTGCACTAGAATGATCAGAAAAGCTTCTTTCCCATGGGCTCCAAATTTTTCTCTAGATAGCTGACGTCTTCAAATTTCAGAGATTTTATTTTAAATGTTCCATGTTATACGAAGGAGCATTGATTGGGAGGGGCCAGAAATCCCCATGTATGCTTTTCTTTTTTCTTTTTGAGACGTCTCGCTATGCAGTTCAGGCTGGCCCTGAGCTCACTCTGTAGCCCAGGCTGGCCTTGAGCTCGTGATGATCCTCCTTCCTCAGCCTCCTGACTGCTGGGATTACAGGCCTGTGCCACCACGCCCAGCCTCCCCATGTATGTTTATCGCAGCCCCTTTACAAAAATCACACATGAAACCTTGCCCTGTTATGCACCCAAGATTTAGGAAATGTCAAAGGATTTTTTTTTTTTTTTTGAGACAGGGTCTCACTATGCAGTTCAAGCTGGCCTTGAGCTCACTTTGTAGCCCAGGCTGGCCTCGAACTCACAATGATCCTCCTGCCTCAGCCTCCCGAGTGCTGGGATTACAGGCGTGCGCCACCAAGCCCGGCTATCAGAGGACTTTTGAACAAAATGCATTTTGTTTTTTTTTGTTTTGTTTTAGAAGAGCCTAGAAAGGCAGAGGAAGAGAGGTGGCATGGTGGCAGAGTACATTTGAGTTGTCAACAGTCTCTGCAGTGTCAGGTCAATTACATCAGCACTTGGTCTGGACCAGAGGAAAGGCATGATTCTGCCTCCTGGGAATGTCAGAAGGACCTGATAATTACATTTGGCAAAGCCACAAGGAATGGCTCTGTAATGTCATTGCTAAGAATTGCCCTTTTAATAGCATTTCTGGATGTCAGAGCTTTCCAGATGAATCGCACTTCACTTCTGCTATGGCTTTCCTTTTTTCTGGGCTGGTTCCCAGCTGAGCCTCTTGTTCTTCCTTGCCCTTGCTTTGATATCAGTTTATATTTTCTCTTCTGTCTTCTTCCTTCCTGGCCCAGTTTCTCCATCCCTGCCTTCCTGCACTACCAGCAGCTTCTACTCTCCCCTTGTCGGAGGTGGAAGCATGTGTGAGTGTGCCAGAGGGGAATGCTTGCCAAAGGACAATGTCTTCGGCCTCTGGCCTCATCAAGGTAGTGTTTCAGCCTTAACTCACCACACTGTGGATGACTTGCTTCCATGCTATGCCTGCTACTTTCGTCAGTGGAACTCAAAAGACATAGGGAAGGTTTATCAGTGATCTGTGACTGCAATAAATTCTTTTCCCAATTGTGCCAAATATTATGCCCTTAGACACAATTTACTAACCTCTGCCTCCGTTTTTCCATTCGTGAAAGTGCTGTAATACTTATCTACCTCCCTTTATTGTTGTAAAGATTAGTATATGTTAGCTAAGCACTTTTAAAATAAAGAATTATGTAAAGCATTTTGACATTTTGTTGTCATTGGGATATGGATGCCCTTCTTTAGAGCAGGTGCCGTGTAAGGGAAATACTCTGGTACACCATGGTTCAGGAGCATCTGGTAGGTAAAAAGTCCCATGACAAATACAGAAATGCGATTATTTTCCTTATGAAAAATTTCAACATGGCTTTTAAAAAATAGTTTTATGGAGTGTTTAGAATGAGATTCAAGGACCAAGGATATAGTCCGTGGTGCAGGGCCTATCTGGTAAGCACAAGGTCCTAAGTTTGATTCCTGGCACCCAAAATAAAAGAAGAAAAGAACGAGATTCAATTTATAGAAGTGTGATTTAAACAGAAATTGTAAAAGAACATATCTATTGAACCTCTTGTGAAATTCAGTTGTCAGTCTTGCAAACTAACAGTGCAGTTTATCATTCTTAGGTGGAAAGCTTCTGTGTACACGCTATCCAGCTGCCCAGAATGTCTGAAGGTTTCCTACTCTTGATACTGATTAGAATGGATAGAATGGTGCTTCTCCTACTCATGAATGAGAGGATGCAAGGATCTAGTTCCTTATAGTGCTGCTGCATCAGGGAGACAAAGACTAATCA